AGAAGTTTAAAGACGACCAAGTTTAGAAGTTTAAAGACGACCAAGTTTAGAAGTTTAAAGACGACCAAGTTTAGAAGTTTAAAGTCGACCAAGTTTAGAAGTTTAAAGACGACCAAGTTTAGAAGTTTAAAGACAACCAAGTTGAGAAGTTTAATGACGACCAAGCTTAGAAGTCTAAAGACGACCAAGTTTAGAAGTTCAATGACGACCAAGTTGAGAAGTTTAAAGAAGACCATGTTAAGAAGTTTAAAGACGACCAAGTTTAGAAGTTTAAAAACGACCAAGTTTAAAGTTTAAAGATGACCAAGTTTAGAAGTTCAATGACGACCAAGTTGAGAAGTTTAAAGAAGACCAAGTTTTGAAGTTTAAAGACGACCAAGTTTAGAAGTTTAAAGACGACCAAGTAGAGAAGTTTAAAGACGACCAAGTTTAGAAGTTTAATGACGACCAAGTTTAGAAGTTTAAAGATGACCAAGTTTAGAAGTTTAAAGACGACCAAGTTTAGAAGTTTAAAGACGACCAAGGTGAGAAGTTTAAAGACGACCAAGTTTAGAAGTTAAAGAAGACCAAGTTGAGAAGTTTAAAGACCACCATGTTTAGAAGTTTAAAGACGACCAAGTTTAGAAGTTTAAAGACGCCCAAGTTTGAAGATCAATGACGACCAAGTTTAGAAGTTTAAAGACGACCAAGTTTAGAAGTTTGAAGACGACCAAAGTAAAGATAAATATTTTGTTTTTCATAACTTACATCTAGTTTGTAGATTAATGAGTCTAAATTCTTCTTTGCTTTGACAAGGTTCTCCAGCTTGCCGTTGAGCATCTGGAGCTCGTCCTTCAACACCTTCCTCTCCTCATCCGACATCTTCCCCTTCAACCGCTCGTTCTTACTTCGCAATTTTACTGAAATGAAGAACTTTTGTATTTTTAAATGAAATGATATTAGACATTTCAAGATGGAGAAAGTTAAGAAGGATGTGTAAGAAGTGTTAGTTAATTATTAATTACTTTGTTTACATACTATTAACTCTTTTCGTTTGACTAATCTGTCTTTATTTTACTATAACGTACTCAAATCTTCTAATTTTATGCAATCCCTTTACCTGGTTTTCAAAATAGAATTTTTATCAAGGAAATGTTTGAGCGATTTTTTTAAAATTAAATAATTCTCCCACCTAATTCAAATTGATTGACGTAGAAAACATCTTCCTTCTTCTCCGCCTTCTCCATGAGGTCCTTGATGTTCCTCTTCAGCTTCTTCTGCTCAACCTTGATCAGCTTGATCTCCTCACCAACGATCTCCAGTTCTTTGACGAGATCTCTGAGCGATCCTTCCTCTTTTAATCGTTTAGTCTGTGACTTTTCAAGATCAATTACTAGTACAAAAACATTATTTACATTTCAGCAGCATTGGCATTTTTTGTTTCAAAATTTACTTCATTATTGTTTTAAACAATTTTTGGTTTTGGTTCATGAAGACAGAACAATCCTTATTATCTGTTAAAATGAAGTCTGTCAAATTATATTTATCGAAATTTAAAAAAATAATTTGATGTAAATAGTTGTTCCTAGATTATTGTAAGCCGCACAGTGTGCTGAGAGTATACCATCCATCTGCTGAATTCGTTGTTCAGCAGTCAACACTAAGCTACTTGTAATACATGCTCGCCCACTTAAATCTAATAATAAAAGTAGCAATTATATTTAGGATGACTACTAATGATACAATATTAGCTACTTATCATCTAATAATCAAAGTAGCAATTATATTAAAGAAGTGACTAGTATAAAAGTAACAATTATATTAAAGAAGTGACTAGTATAAAAGTAACAATTATTTTAAAGAAGTGACTAGTATAAAAGTAACAATTATATTAAAGAAGTTGCTAGTATAAAAGTAACAATTTTATTAAAGAAGTGGCTCTAGTATAAAAGTAGCAATTATATTAAAGAAGTGGCTAGCATTAAAGTAGCAATTATATTAAAGAAGTGGCTTGTATAAAAGTAGCTATTATATTAAAGAAGTGGCTAGTATTAAAGTAGCAATCATATTAAAGAAGTGGCTAGTATAAAAGTAGCTATTATATTAAAGAAGTTGCAAGTATAAAAGTAGCAATTATATTAAAGAAGTTGCTAGTATAAAAGTAGCAATTATATTAAAGAAGTGGCTATTATAAAAGTAGCAATTATATTTAAGATTCTCACTGTATTAAAAACCAAAATAGTTGTTTTCCACCTGTACATTCAGTTTGGAGATTCATTATTTTCTTTTCGTTCCAGTGCCGTTCATTCTTCAATGTAGAAATCTTTATCCTAAAATGTAGTTTAAGCAAACATATAAATAGTTAATTTTGGTTAAAGGAACAGTTGCAACAAGCTCTGATTTTATAAGCTTTTATCTAAACAAGAAATTCATATCATAAATTAGGCTGTTAGATCTGGCTTAATTCAGACTTTGATAAATCAAAGTCTACGCTGTAAGGTTGCAAAGATATAAGGATTAGAAAACTAGAGTTTTTTACTTTCTCAAAATATCAGCCAATGTTAAAACAAAAATATATATTTAAAAAATACATTCGCTTAATGTTTGCACCCATTCCACATATATACTTTCGAAAATCAATTTATTTATAATCTTTTATGCTTTGATCAAGTTGTTTACACGATTACCTAGTAACTTAATCTGTTCAATATTTTTACAATATTACTTGATCTGATCAATTTGTAACCTAATCTGATCAATTTGATTACAATTACCTAATCTGATCAATTTGTTTACAATATTACCTAATCTGATCAAAATGTTTACAATATTACCTAATCTGATCAATTTGATTACAATTACCTAATCTGATTAATTTGTTTACAATATTACCTAATCTGATCAATTTCCTAACAATATTACCTAATCTGATCAATTTATTTACAATATTACCTAATCTGATCAATTTGTAAACAATATTACCTAATCTGATCAATTTCCTAACAATATTACCTAATCTGATCAATTTGTTTACAATATTACCTAATCTGATAAATTTGTTTACAATATTACCTAATCTGATCAATTTGTTTACAATATTACCTAATCTGATCAATTTGTTTACAATATTACCTAATCTGATCAATTTGTTCACAATATTACCTAATCTGATCAATTTGTTCACAATATTACCTAATCTGATTAATTTGTCTACAATATTACCTAATCTGATCAATTTGTTTACAATATTACCTAATCTGATCAATTTGTTTACAATATTACTTAGTCTGATCAATTTGTTTACAATATTACCTAATCTGATCAATTTGTTTACAATATTACCTAATCTGATCAATTTGTTTACAATATTACCTAATCTGATCAATTTGTTTACAAAATTACCTAATCTGATCAATTTGTTTACTCGTTTGAAAGATTATTTCTCTGTGTTTAATTCATTTTTATATGCTTTATTCTCTCCTTCAGCTTCCAGTAGTTCTTCTTTCAGGGTTAATGCTTTCCGTTCTAGAATTAAATTTTTATTGAATCAGTGTACAATATACAATTTACAATATACATATTTTTGGCTTGCCAGAGCTAGTGTTTGTTTGTTTATATCTAAAAAATGTCAAAATTTCCAACCCATTAAGTACCAAATTTTTTAAACACAGAGAAATCTGCGAAAGTATAGTTTTTCGATGTTAACAGAAACAGTGGCGGCATAAAAGGAAACAGAATTAAACCTTGAGCGCCTTAAAAGCCAAGTAAGGAAAAAATGATTTTTTCTTTCTAAACCATGTTTGACAAAGAAGTTTTTTTATAAAAGCGAAGTTAAACGATTTTAAAAAAATTATCTTTTTTTTAATGCAGATTTAAAATATACTTACCGAGGACTTTTAGATTATCCTTTATTTCCTTAACATTCTCCACTTCATTCCTTCAGACATGAATTTTTATTTGTCAAAAATTATTATTTCACTGCTTATTCTGTTTTTAAATCAAGAATAAATGTTTAAAGATATTTAGATTTTTTTTAAAATATTCTGTTCCTGTGAAAATTGATTTGCTCTTGAAGTTCTGCTCCTCGGTTTCTTACTAAGGTTTTATACCTTAAAAATATCAATTAAAAGGTAAGTTGAAAAATCAAAAGCTTTGCCCAAGTCTAAAATTGAAAATGGAAAATTATTGAATATACAAGACGACACTAGAAAAGACGATGTTTTGAATTTCGAAGCAGACGACATTTGAAACGTTCCTGAGTAGATCTACCGCATCCTCCCACTGTTTGACAACCTCCTGCCGAGCAGCATAGACTTGCCTGTAACAAATAATGATTGAAATATAAAAAATAAAAAAAATAATTTGCTTTGAATAAATTCATATTTACCTGAATTCTTCTGCACATTTATCCAACGCTATTTGCGCCATTTTACTTTTAGTTGCGGCGTTCTTTAATTCTTCTTTCGCTGCTCTCAATCTTAAATAATAATATCGAATAAACATGAAATGCAAATTTAAAACTTTTCGATTTTTATAGTGATACCCACACCAGATACGACTTAAGGACGACCTAAAACTTGCCAAATTTGATCTGAAGTTAAAACTTGGTATTTGGTTTTGAAGAAGTATATACCAAAAGTGTAAACCTTGAATGAAAGAAATTGGCTCGTAAAATTCAGAACAGTCGTCTCTGCTTGCGCTTTTCTTTATGAGAAACCCGGTACCCTGTATAGTGTATATAGGGATGGATCGTTTCTACTTTTTTTAAAAACGATCGTTTTTGTAAACGACCGTTTATGACGACCCTTTGGCATCGATCGTTAACTATAGTTTACATTTTTTTGTCTGAAAATCTGAGCTCAGAAAACATTCTGGTTATTTGTTTCGATAAAAAAAAACATTTAAGACAACATTCATAACTTTATCTTCCTGAAAAAAATGAAATTATTGTTATAAAACTCAGATTCATTAACCAAATTTTTTTTCTCAAAAACTATAGCTTTTCGTTTAAATAAAAATATCGTTTACAAAAACGATCGTTTTATCTTTTTTGAAATTTTAAAAAGATAATTTTTCTCGAAAAACGAAGCGATCGTTTTAAGAAAAATATAAAAACAAAAGGAAAAACAATAATTTTTAAAAACGATTAACAACCCTACTTGTAAACTTGTAATTTTAAAAAAGCGTGTTAACAATCAAAACTTATAAAAAGTCGTTTTTATTGTATTGATTTAATCGTCTACCACTGTGAAAAACAATAAAATCGTCCACAAAAATGCAAGTTTGATGACCATTAACGATTCACATAAAAAATACAATTTTGATAATACTAGAAATTCAAGGCGCTTCGCGCCCTTCTTTCTAGGCTTTAAGGACGCTTTGCGCCCATCTCATTTTTGAATTGTGAACATGTTCTTTTTGTTTACATTTAAACAAAGAAGAAAAAAATTTTGCGGATTTTTAAAAAAAAATTCGCGGATTTTTAAGAATGTAAATTTTTGTACAAAAATTAAAAACCTTTAAAACACATTTTTTAAAATTTTTATCATTCATAAACCTTCCCAGTGGTCACGTGATGTCCCACAAAAATTTGGGCCCGATCCGTTCAATCGTTTTGACGTTTATTGGATACAAACAAACAAAAAAAAACCCAAGCCAAATTTATATATAGAATAAGTTATGCAGTAAAAACATATTGCAATTTACTTCATGACTAACTTTACATTAGTAAAAAGAAACTTAATACAAAATACAAGGTTATCTTTAAAAATATTTTCATTTTAAAATGCAATTTTGCACATTTATTCCAAAAGTTTAAAGAATTGAGAAATGTTTTGTAAAAGTTTTAAACTTTCCTTATTTTGCTGTGAAATCTAAACTCAGTTTCAAACTTTCCTTAAAAGTTCAGAATCAGACTTTTTAATTCTACAGTAAACTATTTTCTTGATTTTAACATTTTCTTTAAAAAAAAATTCAAAATTTATCTCTTCTCTTCCCCCCATCCTCCCAACCCAAAATTGGGACAAATTTCTCCGTAACTTAAAAACAACTCAAATTTACATATATTGGTGCATTTTGAAAGACCTTGACAATTTTGTAAAATTTTTTAATTCTTTTGAAGCATCACTGCTCCCTAACTATTAGATTGGAGGGATTTTTTTTATGAACTTGCTTTCAACAGTTGGGCTTCTGAATTGTGTATAATTTTCTTATCTCAACTCTGAGGACAAAAATACATATTATAAATCATTCAGACAATAGAAGGCGAAACGGGACTGTACGCCAAATACACATTCCCCTTCTAGTGAAATTTATGTACCTTTACCATGACGCATACCCTTATCTTGACTTGTAACTTGGTCTTAACTTTAACCTTTGTCTTAACCTTGACTTGGTTTTATACTTGACCTTTACTCTAACAAATAGCCAAATCTTCAACATCATTACCCCGACTTAACCTTAATCTTATTTTTACCTTTACTGTAAAAAATAGCCAAATCTTCACCACCATTACCCCGACTTAACCTAAATCTGATATTGATCTTCACTGTAAAAAATACCCTAATTTTGACCTTAACATGAATCCTAGCTGTAATTAAACCTTGACCTTAACCTTAACCTTAACCTTGACCTTGACCTTAACCTTAACCTAACCTGTGATCAAGTTTTCCCAAGGTCAAGTTTAAATCCTTAACCTTGACCTCATCCAGATGAAAGTATTTAGTCACTGTCTCAACATCTAGAAGAAATTTTTTTTTTATTAATTAAGCTACAGGGCTAAAATTTATATATTTTAAAAGCCCTTGAAAATGGATTTAATGGGATGTTTCATATGATAATATTTGTCAAACTTTGAAAAGTTGGACTAAGGGCATGAATCACACTTTCATATCTCAACTCTAAGGGCTAACTCACAAGGGGGGGGGGTGGAAAACAACTCCCCCCAGCCTAAATTAGACACAGATAGCCCAGTCTGGATAGGGTTAAGAGTATAATCTTTTTTTCAATGAATAGGTTTTTCAAAGAGGATTTTCCTTACAGAACGGGACTGCAGACGGAATTTTAAGTAAACCTAAATTAAAAAAGAGTTGTATGTCCGACTCACAAGGATAACCTTGATCTAAGCAAGTATAAATGAGATATCCTTGATTTTTTAGCTTGAAATCGATTATTTTCAACAGTGGTTTCTTTTTAAAAATTTAGGATCAACGCAACAGATAAAAAGAAGGAGATTAACACTTCACAACACTTCAAAAACGGCGATATCATCCTTATTGTTTATTAGATGATTGTTGTGAATCGTACCTATCCGTTAAGAAATAGAGAGTCCTTTACGTCAATTTAAAGGATTCTTTACTCTTTTTTTTGTGTGAAAAGAGAATAATTTCTATATTATGAAATGATAAATGAGAGCTGAAAGTTTAAGCTTCAGAAAATTGATTAAAGTATAATTGATTCAGGAAGATTTTTATTTATTATTTTATCATAATCTGTAAACATTTTTAAGGGGTTTATGTACACTTTACACTGTACAGGAGTATTCACAAATAACAAGAGTTAAACGATGATCGAAGACTTTTTAAAGGGAATTTAGACGTACTTTCAATGGACCCTCCGTTTGTGATGTGCGGTGTCCGATTTACAAAGATATCCTTTAATTATTTTATTTCAACCACAGAAACACATGCAATAGACGAAGAAAGAAATGTTTAAAGGGACAAGATAAACCGTTGGCAATCAGACATGCCTCTCTATTTGAAAACATACGTCTTCTTTGAATATGAGATATTAGTTGAATCCGAATAATTGAATATAAAATGATTTAGCAAAATTTTACAGGTCCAGGAAACTATTAATGTAAATAACACGATTAAATGCAGGTTTTATATTTGCATACCCCATGGGTAATTAACATTATGTAACCAAAGGCGGCTTATGATTTTTTTAGGTTACAAACGAAGTTTCGCCATTTTGAGAAAGCGTGCTGTAGAATATATTTAATTCTGTGAAATTAATTAATTAATGAGATAATTCTGTACCTGTGTCTTTTGAATGAATACTAGTTAACCACTCCGCTAAATTGGTTTCTCCACTTTCCATCTTCAGCATCTCCTCACTTCATGCATGCCGGTCAGTGTCTCATGGCTATGCATGCCGGTCAGTGGCTCAGGGCTTTGCATGCCAGTCAGTGGTCGAGGGCTAAGCATGCCAGTCAGCGGCCCTGGGTTGTGCATGCCAGTCAGTGGCTTAGGGCTATGCATGCTGGTTAGTGACCCAGGGCTATGCATGCCGATCAGTGGCTCAGGGTTTTGCATGCCGGTCAGTGGCCCAGGGCTATGCATGCCGGTCAGTGATCCTGGGTTATGCATGTCTGTCAGTTGCTCAGCCCTTTGCATGTCGGTCAGTGGCCAAGGGCTATGCATGCTGGTAAGTGGCCCGGGGTTATTCATATCGGTCAGTGGCCCTGGGTTATGCATGCCGGACAGTGGCTCAGGGTTATGCCTGCTTTTTAGTGGCTTAGGGCTATGCACGCCGGTCACTGTTGAAGCATAAAAGGACTGTAAGCGTAATTTCATTTGAATCTCCCTGAAAACATGTCAATGCCGACCCATTTCACAACGGTATGCTTGAGACCTATATCTGATCAATATTGTTAAAGATATTGTCGTTTTATAAATTTTATTATTCTGATTCCTATATTGTTTCCTGCACTCCAAATGCACTAAAATCTCTTTTGTAGAGAATCCACCATTTTAAATTAAAAACATTGATATCTGAGGCATTCTTGGTCAGACAAACCTTTTAAGGAATTACCGTTGTGAATCGGACATTACTGTTTGTTCCTGGAGGGTTACATGAAATGACGCTTACAGTCTCTTTGAGCATACAGATCTGGGATTAAACAAGAAATATCGCCAAATTAACATTTAGGTAATTAAAGAAAAGTGTTGTTTTTGGTTAAGATATGAAAAGAATATGCAAAATACATTTTCAAACCTGAGATAAAGCATTTTATCCCCCAAGCATGGGCTAAACTCTCTAACAGAGAAAGGGAATAGTTAAAAAAGTAATTTTTGATTCCATGATTAACGCTATTTGTCTTATTAAAGGTTTACCGAAAAAATGCACAATTTGAATTTTTTATTAACTCTTGGAATTTTTTAATATTTAGACAACCTTTTTTCGTAAACTCAAAATATCGGCACAATTTAAAAATTACGAAATTTTTGTTAGAATTTGAAAAGAGAATGTTAGGGATATCTCATGAATGTTTATCTGGGCATAGCATGCCTGATAGCTTCGTTGTAGTCCTTCATCTTGGTTTCAAGCCGTTCAATGTTAGCTTGTATTCGTTCAACAGTTTCAGAGCACAGTTTTATATCACGTCTACAATACATTTCATTTTAGAAAAGATATCAACTATTTTTATAAATTAAAAAGTTCTTTGCTACATTTGCTGGAAGGAATATAAATAAAACTCAATAATGTTGAGTGTGAATCTCTAAAAACTCTGTAACTAAAAAATGCTGTTTGAATTAATTTGATTTCTTTAGGTAATGCCATTGCGACCGGATGTCGTATACCAATGATATTTTAAACCATGAATTCTTTTATATAAAATAATCTAAATTTGAAATATCAAAGGTTTGCACCATCAGGTTACAAAGATATAGGAATAAGAACATGTGTGGCAAAGACTCAATTCCTATATGGAGACATTGCTTAAAAGGCAAAAAAGTGAAAAGAGTTAATTATTTTTGGGTTAAAACTATCAAATTATAAAATATCAAAAATGAATAATTTTCAATCAAAAAGAGGATCATAACTTCATAGTTATGATTTAAATTATAAATAACAAGACCTATACTTTTCTTTGTACAATATTTAAAAAATGGAGAAGCAGTTTTAAGGGAGAGACTGGTTAGACATGGTAGTTGAGCTGAGAGTGCAGTATTGAAGAGAAGTTGTTCAGCAAGAGCAAAAATTCGATCTTTAAAATTCTCCTGGATTGTCGCGCAAAAACCTGCTGGACTGGCATGCCGCGCCACAACTTGCCCAGAAGGCAGGCTGCGCCACAACCTACCGGTGGCGGGCGCAAAGAGGATTTTAAAGATAACATTTTTGCGGTTGCTGAACAATTATACACCGTAAATACGTCTCATAAGAATCCTGAAATATTTCTCTACAACACTGCTCTCTCGGCTCAACTACCATGTTAAGCCAGTCTCTCCCTTTAATTATGATTTTGAAATGTCAAAAATTGACATTTTACTTAATTGACTTATTAAACTTTATGCATGGTCTTCTATATATCGCTATGTTTAGTGGAGCACCCTGTATACCTGTATCTTCCCCTCAAAATTTCAGCTGTTTTAAGAAGAGCTTTCTCTTGTTCAACCTCGTGGCGCTTCGCCTGAAAATTAATTTTAGGTAAAAGGGACTTTATACATGAAATTTATATGAAAGAGTTAGAAATTAAAAATTGAAACTTGAGGTCAGTAATTAGTTTAAATGTACAATGTCAACATACCATAAGAATATCTGTATTACGATGAGTAGCTTCTTTAACTGATATAATATGGGTCTCATAGCTTGCAGCTTCCTCATCGGCAGCTTCAACTTCATGCTGAAGACGTAACAGTGCAACCTAATCATTATCATCATTATCATCATTATCATCATTATCATCATTATCATCATTATCATCATTATCATCATTCTCATCATTATCATCATTATGATCATTATGATCATTATATCATTATCATCATTATCATCATTATCATCATTATCATCATTATCATCATTATCATCTTTATCATCATTATCATCATTATCATCGTTATAATCATTATCATAATTATCATCACTATCATCATTATCATAATTATCATCATTATCATCATTATCATCATTATCATAATTATCATCATTATCATCATTATCATCATTATCATTATTATCATAATTATCATCTTTATCATCATTATCGTCATTATCATCATTCTCATCATTATCATCATTATCATCATTATCATCATTATGATCATTATGATCATTATGATCATTATGATCATTATCATTATTATCATCTTTATCATCAGTATCATCATTATCATCATTATCGTCATTATCATAATTATCATCATTATCATCATTATCGTCATTATCATCATTATCATCATTATCATCATTATCATCATTATCATCATTATCATCATTATCATCATTATCATCATTATCGTCATTATCATCATTATCATCATCATTAACATCTTAAAAATATCATCATCATTATTGTCGTTACATTTTTAACTATAAAAATGGAGAGATCATATTTTTTATCATTATTCATCATGTGTTGCCCTGGTTACTCATAGTTACTCCCACCCTTTACCTGCGCTGAGTTGTAAATCACGATTTTAGCTATTTTTCCATAAAAAAATGAACCCATTCAATTAGAATCTCAAAACCAAGTTAGAAACATTCCCGTGGTTCTTCTAAGTTTCCAAATCAAAACTTTAGGCAAATCGATTAAAGGGTTCATGATATTTAGGATCGGAAATACAAACATCCTGACAAGTAAAAATTACTACTTTTTATACATAGATAGATAAACACTCTATTCATGAGAATATTTAATTTAAATTTCTCCCAGGCAGTTTGTACAATACCTGATGTTCTTGAAGAATATTGTTAAGAAGTTTAGTTTCTCGATCAAAGAACGGAATATCCCCCAACCCTAGACGCTGACCTTAATCCAGAGATAGTCAGAAGAGATGAAAGTCGGTCCGCATAGTCAGGGGCGTACTCAAGAATTTTTCCAGGGGGAGGGGCCGAGGGTGGCTTACATTTTTTCTTTTAAGTAAAGGGGGGTGGGGTTCAGCACACGTTTTGGCCCAAAAACCTCCTGAGAATAGAAACCATAGATTTTACTGATCCAGGGGTGGGGGGCTGAGCCCCATAGCCTCCCCCTAAATACGCCTCTAGGCATTTAAAAAGGGTTGGGACTACTGTTCAAAAATAACTAAAAACTGACGAAACTTATTTTGTTCAAATGTTCAAAACGATGGGATAAAACTGTCCAACTGTTAGTTTTGATTTTTTGAAAAACAAAAAACGAATTGAGTTCGGTTTGTTAGGTTTATTAAAAAAAATATTAATTTTGTAATTTTCCGTCGGTAAGGTTGATATTTAAAGCTGTTTCTGGTACCATTTTCAAGAAAGGGGAGGGGTNCCCACCACGTTTTTGCTTGCATTATTTTCTATTGACTTCTCTATTCCTGTATCTAGTCCAATCTGGTGTAGTCCCATCTGCTCCTCTGCAAATTATAGAATTAATTATTTTGTTAACATATTTATTTTCATAATTTTAATTTCAACAAAATTCAATAAATAATGAGATGATAATGTTCTTGTTTGTGAATCATCGTTTATGTTCGGTTGATTTTGCAAAAGAAAGAAATAGCAAATTATAATTAATTATGACTCCATTAACGAAGGAACTAAGTACTTGTCACAAACACTGATTTTTTATTCCTAAATAATAATTTAAATATTGATAGCTATGTTATATCTGCAAATTATAGAATTAATTATTTTGTTAACATATTTATTTTCATAATCTTAATTTTAACAAAATTCAATGAATAATGAGATGATTTTTTAAAATTTCCTCTTTCATGTTCTTGTTTGTGCATCATCGGTTGATTTTGAAAAAGAAAGAAATAGCAAATTATAATTAATTATGTCTCCATTTACAAAGGAACTAAGTAGTTGTCCCAAACAATAATTTTTATTCCTTTATATATGCGACCTGATGTCCCATTATTTAAATATTTATAGCAATGTTTTGTTACAAAGATACTTGGATTTTTTGATCATTTTTCAGATTTAACATTATAGATATTCGACAGCTACGGAAATGCATTTTGAAATGAAATACAAAGGGATATATTACTCGTTTCAAACTCCAAGTATCTGAACCCTACATCTTTTCAACCTTTTAATGGAAACTTTGAGTTTCTAATCTATGGTAGTATTTATAGTTGGAAACAAGGTTTTAATGCAAGGAAAATTATTTCAGATGTGTACGCATATTTTGTACTGCAGTGTACTGTCGCTGAGCGGTAATGCAAACACAAGACGGATGTTGAAGCATGACATGGGATCCATCTTTCACATAAAAATCAATGAAATATTACGATAATAGAAAACTATTATGTGAATTATCAAAATTATCAAAATTTAATGCTTTTAACCTCCTCGGATACTAAACAAACACTGATGCATCTATTCTTGTTTACAAATTCCGGCCAGAGAGAACTGGTTTCAATATGTACGCAGAGTCTAGACAACTGCAATTAAGTCTCCTTGCCTCATGACCTTGGTTTGAAATATCATATGTTTACGACATCAGGGATATTACGGATTATAAAATTACGGTTGGAGGCAATTTATTCAGATTAAAAAACTGAATTTTAAAACTTAAATACCTAAATTTACAGCGTTGGACAACAAATCATTCAGCCCTTCTCCAGGTATATTTAGTATTTTAGACGGCATTTTTACCTCAAATTATAAAAGATAAAATATTCATTACTAGGCAGTGTAGCAATTAATTAATCAATTGAACTGTGTCTGCTTTTTACTTGTAACGAAAAAGTGTTACGCTAGAATCTTTAAATATGTAAATTCATTCATATAAGTAACTTGCAATTTGTAACAGTTAATCTATGCACATATGCAGACGAACAACTTGTAGCTACAGCCTGTAACTGCTTATCTATGTATCTGTGTATGTAATTATCTAATTTGTAACAGTTAATCTATGCATATATGGAGACGAACAACTTGTAGCTACAGCCTGTAACTGCTTATCTATGTATCTATGTATGTAATTATCAAATTTGTAACAGTTAATCTATGCATATATGGAGACGAACAACTTGTAGCTACAGCCTGTAACTGCTTATCTATGTATCTATGTATGTAATTATCTAATTTGTAACAGTTAATCTATGCATATATGCAGACGAACAACTTGTAGCTACAGCCTGTAACTGCTTATCTATGTATCTATGTATGTAATTAATCTAACTTGTAACACTTAATCTATGTATCTATACATACAACTAGTTGCTACAACTTGTAGCTTCGTATCTATGTATATAATACAACTTGTAAATGTTTATTTATGTAACTATGTATATTATAAAACTTGTGAACGTTTATCTACGAACAAACGCGCACGTACACAATTCTTAGATGTTCATCTATGTATCTATGTGTATGTACAACTTGCACATTTTTATCTATGTATCTATGCATTGTACATATACAACTTGTAAAGGTTCATCTATGTATCTATGTATATATACAACTTGTAATTGTTTATCTATGTATACATGTATAAATATAACTTGTAATTGTTTATCTATGTATCTATGTATATATTGTACATATACAACTTGTAAAGGTTCATCTATGTATCTATGTATATATACAACTTGTAATTGTTTATCTATGTATACATGTATAAATATAACTTGTAATTGTTTATCTATGTATCTATGTATATATACAACTTGTAATTGTTTATATATGTATCTATTTATATAATTAGCTTGTAACTATTTACCTAGGTATCTATGTATATATGCAAATTGTAATTATTTACCTATGTATCTATTTAGATATACAACTATATATCTATGCATCTATGTATATATACAACTTGTAATTGTTTATCTATGCATCTATGTATCATATATACAACTTGTAATTGTTTATCTATGCATCTATGTATGAATACAACTTGTAATTGTTTATCTATGCATCTATGTATATATACAACTTGTAATTGTTTATTTATGGATACATGTATATACAACTTGTATTTTTTACCTATATATCTATGTATACAATTAGCTTGTAACTATTTATCTATGTATCTATGTATATATATACAACTTGTAAATGTTTACCTAGGTATCTATGTATATATATATACAACTTGTAAATGTTTACCTGGGTATCTATGTATATATATACAACTTGTAAATGTTTACCTATGTATCTATGTATATATATACAACTTGTTATTGTTGATCTATGTATCTATGTATATATATACAACTTGTAATTTTTTATCTATGTATACATGCATAAATACAACTTGTAATTGTTTATATATGCATCTATGTATATATACAACTTGTTATTGTTTACCTATGTATCTATTTATATATACAACTTGTAATTGTTTATCTATGTATCTATTTATATATTCAACTTGTAAATGTGTATCTATGTATCTTTTTATATATACAACTTGCAATTGTTTATCTATGTATCTATTTTTATATACAACTTGTAACTGTTTATCTATGTATCTATACATATATACAACTTTTAATTGTTTATTTTTGTATACATGTATATATACAACTTGTAATTGTTTATTTTTGTATACATGTATATACAACTTGTATTTTTTTACCTATGTATGTATGTATATATACAACTTGTAAATGCATATGTAATTATGAAACTTGTATCTGTTTATCTATGCATCTATGTAGATATACAACTTGTAATTAAGATGTAAATATATGTATCTATCAATACTGAAAAGTAACTATGGTTTTCGTACACTCCTTCCTTCTTACAGTTTTATCAATATTGTTGAGTCAATAAACAAACAAACACTTACACACACCACACACACTACCTCACAAACACCCCCAATTACTTATACGTATACACCACCTAACATACACAGCATACACTTACGCACACTTTAACATAAACTATAACATACAAAAGTACAGGCTAACATAAAAAAACACCCCGATCCACACTTAGATACTTTAATGTAAAGATTTTAAAAATATAAGATGTCTCCAGACCTCAATAACAAATATGTTTTAGTCTAATTTTAATTCATTGTAGTCAACTCCTCCCCCGTCTACTCCCAAGACCATTTTTATTTATTGTAAAAAGTTTAGCTATAAATATATATTTTATCTTTATCTTTACAATATAGATTTATGGAGGCTACATTCTTAGATGTTAGATATTCTATCCTATGTTTAAATATATTTTGCTTTTCATTGTAAAAGAAATTTGTCTATGCCAAGCACTCACATTTTCTAGTCCCTATATATTTTTGGAACCTGACCGTGTAAACCTTTGATATTTCAAACTTTGTTTGATCTGACAGAATTCATAGATTGAAAATTCCATAGTCTAAGACATCGGGTTGCAAAGATTATAGGGACTAGCAATTCTTAGTTTGGGACATTAAAGACTTAATTCTTAATTGCTAGACGTATGCCTGCGTAAGACTGAGCCCCTTGACGATCAATGTGTTCACCTAAACATGTGAAACTTTTTTTCATAAAAATTTTTTCTTTTCTTAATTTACTTTTCCTTCATTTTAACCTTTTTCATGCTACTAAGGTTTATTCCCATACGTGTATTTGAACAACAGGTTTTTTGAGAACCGGAGATTATTTTTCTGACAGAATTCATTTCTATTTAATAATATAAACTTAAATATGTAGATTTCCTCCATATCTATTAAGTCACTAGACAGAAGAAGAAGGTCAAGTTTATGCAACATTACAGGTACGACATTGTGACATCGTAGATTCTCTACTTTGGATTTGAAGTACAAGAGAAAACCAAATCTATTAAGTTACATATACATATTGGAAATGAAAATTTTTTTTTTCTTTTCAATAGATCTTATAGATAAAAGGTGTTATGACTGAAAACATAATGAAAGAATGCAAGTTGTCATGCAATTTACTTTAGTTTGACGTGAAGTGCATTGTTATAAGATGGCTGTAAATGTTTACCTCTAAATATAATAAAGTTTATATGTTTTCACATAAACGTATACTTATTCAAATTCAACTAAATATAATAAAGTTTATATGTTTTCACATAAACTTAGTTCTATGCATTCTTCTCCGCTCATTCTGCAAAGAAAATAATATCCACCTCTCTCAACAGTTTTTTATACTCCCTGTATACTGTATACTCCCTGTATATTGCCTGAATACTGTATACTGTATACTGTATACTCCCTGTATGCTGAATACTGTATACTGTATACTGTATACTCCCTGTATGCTGTATACTGTATACTGTATACTCCTAGTATACTATATACTCCCTGTATGCTGAATACTGAATACTGTATACTCCCTGTATGCTGTATACTGTATACTCCCTGTGTACTCCCTGTATACTATATACTCTCCTGTATACTGTATACTCCCTGTATACTGTATACTCCCTGTATACTTTATACTCCCTGTATACTGTATACTGTATACTCCTTGTATGCTGTATACTGTATATACTGTATACTCCCTGTATACTGAATATTGTATACTGTATACTCCCTGTATACTGTATATTCCCTGTATACTGAATATTTGTTACTGTATACTCCCTGTATACTGAATAATTCTTGTATTCTGAATACTCCCTGTATACTTTATACTGTATATACTGTATACTCCTTGTATACTTTATACTGTATATACTGTATACTCCCTGTATACTGAATAATGTATACTGTATACTCCCTGTATACTGTATACTCCCTGTATACTGTATACTCCCTGTATACTGTATACTTCCTGTATACTGTATACTCCCTGTATACTATATACTCCCTGTATTCTGAATACTCCCTGTATACTGTATACTCCCTGTATACTGTATACTCCCTGCATACTGTATACTCCCTGTATACTGTATACTCCCTGTATACCGTATACTATACACTCCCTGTATTCTGTATACTCCTTGTGTAACTAATGTATTTACTGGGTTCTATATTTATATAGATGGCCGCAGATGTCTCTAGAGAAACTGTATCTACAGGAAATAGAATACATTTCACAAATTACCTTAACGTTAACACTACATAGCTAAAAGAATTCTTAAGAGAAAATAAAAAATCTCACGTTTTGAGGAGAAACTTTAGTTAAAACTGAAGTTAATGTTTTAGTTTTACATCAAGCAGTGTTTAAAACTACAGAATAGATTTGAGATTTGCTTTTCAAAATATTGTTGTAAAATGACCATTCAATCAATCAATTTAGAAAAAGGTTTTTTTGGCCCCCCCTAAACATTTCTAGGGGAGCGTGGGGGGGGGGCAAGAAAAAGGTGCATTATACTCAAGCGTGAAAAAACTACCATACCAATTAAGGATATTTTTGGGGAAAATTTTTATATTTGTGGGCATTCATTCAGTTTTGGGAAAATTTGTGTGGGAAAAATCTTAAACTATATTTCAGGGGCAAATTTTTTTGGGGTCAATTTTTTAAGTTCGGGGAAATCTTAAATCTGTTGTTTTTAGGGAAAATTTTATTTTTTGGGCCTTTTTCAGTTTTGTCAATTTTTTGCATGGGATATCTTAAATCTTTATTTTGGGGTCAAATTTTTTAAAAATATATAGAGGCATTTTTTTAAAACTAAGGGATATTTTTTCGTTGGGGGCAAAACTTCTTAATTTTTTAGCATTATCTAAATGGGCATTTTTT